ACCGCCCCCTCCCCTCCCCCCTCACCAGGCTTCTCCTTGGCCAGCTGTTTGTCCAAGGCGAGCGTGGTCTTCTCCTCCTGAATGAACATCCGGTCGATCATCACCATCTCGGCCGAGGGGCTCACCCTCTGAGGGGAGAAGACGGGCAAGTGAAGCGGCCAGGAGAGGAAGGGGACGCGAGTGTCCCGGGTGGGTGGGAGCGGGTTCCAAACCGTCCTTCTTGTGGCCTGACAGCCAGCCTCCCTGCCTCCCTGCCTCCTCACGAAGGGGAAGGGTGGGGTTGGGGGAGGAAGGTGACAGCCCCTACCCGGGACTCCTCCAGGAGCAGGAGGCGGTACTTGTTGAGCATGGCCTGGGTGCGTTTCAGCAGCTGCGTGGAGACCGTCTCAAACTCCTCGTCCACTGCGGAGGAAGAGCAGAGGCCCAGAGGCAGGGAGGTTGGGGGCGGACAGACGGAGCAGGGTGCCTTGCCACCCCCTCCGCAAAGCAGGGGCAGGGAGGGAGAGTCCCCGAAGACCTCACCTCTGTGGTAGTCGTTGGGGGAGGGGAGGGCGCCCTGGTAGACGTGGTAGGGCAGGAGGCGGTGCAGGGCGTCCTCGAAGGAGGGGAAGGCTGTCTTGTAGTCTGGGTGCAGGACGGAGCCCTGATGTTTGTGCAAATGCTCCAGGAAACTGGGGGTACGTGGGGAGAGAACACACACGCAGAGCTGGTGATGAGGCAGAGGAGAAGCCAGGCCCGCAGCCCTGCCCCAGGCCCCGAAGCAGACAGCAGGAGCAGGAGAACACTGAGGAAACAGGTGCTAACACGCCCTGGCTGCTCTTGACCTGTCTCACTGAGACTCTGGTGACAACCAAAGGAAGCAGGAGCTCTCCTTATCCCCATTTCACAGATGAGGAAACGCAGGCCCAGAGAGTGTGAAGTGCCTCGTCCCAAAACACACAGGAGGAAAAGGCAGCGCTGGGAGTGAGAGGCCAGAGCCTGAGACTCGTCCTCCCTGCTATACCACCTCCCGCCACCGGGGGGCAGCATGGCCCCACGCTGCCAGCGCCCAACAACAACCTTGAGCAGCGGAGGGAGGTTGGTCCCTTGATCAGTGGGTAAAATACTATTCTCTCAAAAGGCTTCGCACCACATCACAAATTACAGTGAGTTATGTCTCTGTTGTGTGGTGGTCTCCTCCCCATCAGGCATGCTGGTCCCCACCCTATGCTGAAGACCAGCAGCCCTCACACACCACAGGAGCAGGAGTTGGTCTGTCTTGTATTTCCAGAACCTAGCAGTGCTGGACAGTGAGTGCTTGACCAACACTTGGTGGAAGGAGGGCAGAAGACAGGGAGAGAACACAGGCAAGCATCCAACATTTACCCATCCACCCACCCAAACACCCATCCCTCCATCCACCCAAATCACCAATCCCTCCACCTACTCATCCAGAGCCCCATTCACCCATCCACCATCCACCTATCCACCATCCCTCCCTATCTGAGGTGCTGAGGGTGCCGCAGTGAGCAGGCACACCAGTGCCTCCCTCTCAAGTTGGCAGCCTAGCGGTGCCATGTGAATGCTCTTAGCGCAGTTTCATCAAATCCTCACCCATCAGCCTACGATCGTGACTATCGCCACCCCATTTTCCAGAGGGGGAGACTGAGGGTATGTGAGGGAAACGGCACTGGGAAGTTGCAGGGCCAAGAGGAGGTGGAGTGGGGATCTGCACTCAGGCCTGCCTCACCCCACTTCTGCGGGGTGTTCCTCACTCCCCCTCCCAGGCCTCTGGGAAGGCACGGGGGTGGGAACACAAGGATGGTGCTGCCACTCACCAAGCTTCTTTGCTGGGCTGAAGTGGGGGTGGTTTCTTCAGGCCACTCAACTTGCTCTCATACTGCGGGGGAGAAAGGCGAGTGAGGGGGTCCACAGAGAAGCGTTCCCTCCATGTCCCGACCCCACCTCCCCCATGGGGTCCTGCCCTACCCATCACAACCTGTGGGAAGACCTGGGCTGGGCCCAGGTGGGGGACATGGAGAGGAGACAAGCAGGTGTGAGCCCTGGGACCCTCAGCCAGGGACCCTCCAGCCCCTTCTCACGCCTCCATCTGCCTTCTGTTCACCCCAGGACCACGTCTGGTGTCTCCCACCCCTGCTCATCACATGGCCTCTGTGTCCACTGACTTGCCCTTTCTCACCACCCAACTCCGCTCACTGTGCCCAGGTCTCTTCACCCTGACTGCTTCCCTCTCCCCTGCCGAGACCCTGCTTGTCCTCCAGTGAACTGGCCTCTGGTGAATCGTCTTCAAGGCTCTCCAACCGAGTCCCTCCACTGTCCCTCTCATTTCCACAGACATGTCCTTGTCTTCCTGTCCCCCTATTCCCAACAGCTGGTCTCTGCCTCACCCCCGCCCCCGCCCGTCTAGGGTCTCACCAGATCCTCCCCTGCATTTCTAATCCCTGTCCTGGGCTGACATCTGACAGTCTCACCCGTCCCTTCTCTGGTCTCAACCTCTCACCTGTTCCCGCTCCAGTGACCACACCAAGGTCTCGCTCAGGCCATCTCTCCTATCGTCACCCTGTCATCTTGGTGTCTGTGGGTCTCCATCCAGCTCTCTGGGTCTCTCACATGCCCCTGCCCAGCCTGTCCTGCTGTCTCACTGTCTGGATATGTCTCACCAGCCTGTCCGTCAGCCTCCCCTGCAGCACTGGCCCCTTCCCCGGTTCCCCCGTGACATGGCTCCGGCCCCGGCCTTCCACCCTGGCAGCCCCTTACCTGCAGCCCGGAGGACTTCCCTGGGCCAGACACAGCGGCCTTGGCCACACTCAGGGTCGGGAGGTTGCTGGCAAAAGCTTTGCTCTCGGCAGGAAGCAGAGGAGGGAGGCCTAGGGGCGAGTGGGGGGCAAACAGGGCTCAGAGGTCACTGGCACAGAGACCCCTTCCTTGCACATGACCCCCCCCAAGCCTGCACCCCACTGTGCTCTGGGGTTTTGGCCTCAGTGGCCCCAGCCCTCAGATCTGGGGAACAGCCCTTCCTCCTCCACCTTCCCTGGCCCCTTGGGTTCTCACATCCCCAGCTCAGCCCCTGCCCACCTTCAGGCCCCATCTCTCCTTCGTGGGGGACCTCTCCCCTACCTGCAGTGGCCATGGGTGCTGGGGCAGGGGGATGGCTGGGGGCAGTGGGGGTCCCGGGTGGGGCCTGCCCGCTGACCAGCACAGAGGCAGTGGGATTGGCGAGGGGCCCCAGACTGGCGGAGGTCTGCGGGGCAGCAGGGGGTCCCCCGGCCTTGCTCTGGAGAATGATTCCGGACGGCACCTGAGGAGGGGACAGGTGGTTGAGGGATAGGGGGCACACGCTAGAAATGGGGTGGCCGGGCACCAGGGCTGGGGGCTTGTGGAGCATGCGGTGGGGCCAGTCCCTGCCTTCGTTACCTGGTGAAATCTCTCCAGAAGAGCCTTCGGCTGGGGCAGCGCCGGGAAGGGGGTGGTCACCATCTGGAAGGTC